TTTATCTACAATCCTTATAATCATCTGATAACTAAAGGGGGAAAAAGGGGGGGGGGGGGGAGGTCGCACAGATGTCCAATATTTGTGGGGGAGGGGGGGTTTCAGGTTTCGTCGGTTGGATTTTGTTACGGGCCTCGTCCATCTGTCACAAAACCATCGTGGCGACAATCTGCACAAGTCTGGAGGTGGCCATTTATAAATGGGTGGTCAAATGGAAACTCAGAAATCTTCAAAGACAAAATTCCAATCTGCTCTGTTCGAAACAAGAGGGCATTATTTGTGTTCCATCCCCTTAGTCCTCATTTGATTTGCTGTAGTCGAGTTTGGTGTCAGAGAATGAACAATGTCAGTTCATACAAGTCTAGACCGATTGCCGTCAAAGATAGTACAGGGTGTAGTATCTTTGCTGCCTTAATCGTTACACCGGAAGTTGGCAGGTTTTTGTAACCCACACTTCAGACAATGATAGTACATAACAAGATGGGCCACTTCTCTCTTTGAGCCAATTAAAAAAGTGTCCTCAAAATTTGGTGGCGCCCTCTTCACAAAAGCGCACTCTTTGCGAACAGAGTTACCCTACTTGAGTTTTAAAAAATCAAAGTGAAACTAGCAAGTTTTGGGATAAATTTTGGAAGAACGCTTTTTTTAATGGTTACGCTGACAAAAAAACCTCTTCCGGAGGAAAGGTTGATGGTTTTCTTGGTTTAATTTGACTTAAGAATGAAAGGCGAGAGGTCATTAAAATAAAAAAAACCCCTAAAACTCCGCACTGAACGTACCCGAACTGCTGATGAACAGCAGTCGATCTGCGCACGCAAGGAGGTGCTATTCCTATTCTTCTTCTGGAAAAACGAAAGAGAGCTTCAAAACAGACCGCAGCGCCATCTGAAGCAAAGAGCATACTTCCTGCGGACACTTTTTTGGCTGAGTGGCCCATCTTGTTATTTACAATCATTGCTTCAGACCACACCATGCGGTAGGCAAAGGAGCTGCCTGACAGGCTGCCATGACGACGGATTATCAACTAAAAATGATGCCCCAGTTACACCCCTCGGACGCCAACGCCGTTCCGGTCACACCAGTGACACTAAGGCGTGGTGGGGGCTAAGTCGTGCTTGTATGCTAAGGTCGGAGTAACTCAAGCTTGAGATCGTGAGGTCGCACATCAGGTCTTCATTGAACACGTCAGATTATATATTATTATTCTGCCCCCGGCTGAAAGCGTTTGGTTTATTCTCGTTTTCCTTCTCTTTTGTCACAGTTGTTTGGGACATATAGTCAAATCCTTTCATTCATTTCGACGTTTGTTTATTACAATCAAGTAGAAGTAGAATTTGACGGAAGGCCTACTTCCGACACGATGGCATGTTCAATGTCCACTCACGTAGACGTTTGTTTACTACAATTAAGCAAAAGTAGAGTTTGAAAAAAGTATACTTCAGAGACACACTGCCATGTCTATTAAAGAGGACGATTGTACATTCTATTACTGCACGATACTGCAACAAAGTAGAAGTAGAGTTAGACGAAATTTTACTTCGCACACACTGTCATGTCCATCCATGTACACATTTGACCAAAGTGTAGGCTTACTTCAACTTGACGCATTAAGCTGCCAAAAACAATAACAACCCCCCCACCCCAATCTCTTTAAACGTCGCCTCATCAACATTTCACATCTTTATAGGGTCAAAAGTTGATACTTTACATGAAGCTTGACAACCTGTTCTGAAGCTTTATCGAGGTTTGTAATGTTCCCACGATGCAAAATATACCATGTGCAAGTCAGTCAGAATTTGGAATGATTTCTGTTTTCACACAGTACAGAATCAATTAAACCGTGTTTGAACAAGTTACAAAATGACTTGTCTTTAACTTTGAGAACGCTTATTCCCACCTACCTCCTGTAAGAAATTCAAAATGTTCAAAACATAATACTTTCGGTTCTGTCGAAATTATATTATCCGAGGAGTGGTGTGTTAACTTTAGTGAGTTCACAGAAAGATCAAGCTTTTATTTTATTTTTTAACGCAATGCTGTGGCTTTGATGCGAACGTTGATGGCAGGCGAAAGAGAAACTACACGATGATTAAGAATTAAAAACTGTGTGTCAAGCTTTTACGTTTGCACACGTGAGAGAGGGGGGGGATGAATAGGGATGGGAGAGAGAGAGAGAGAGAGAGAGAGAGAGAGAAGAATCATTTCGACTGAATAGAAGGGAGCTTTGACCCATGTCAGGGCGCAGTGTTGGGATGACCTGGCCCCTGAAAAACTGAAGACAGCTTTTTGTTTTCCAGGATCAGGCTTTTGATCGAACCATTGTCTTGTCAGCATAAATCTTACGTTCCAAGGAAAAGGCAAAACCATAATCGGGACCAAAGTCCGGAAACATGCTTTCATTAAATTATGATAATAAATTTCAAGGGAGTACTTAGATCTTGTACCTAATACACCGTTCACCTAGCACTCTTTACTTTGTTTTCCATAGAAATTTAGAGCATTTAACGCTGTATTTTCCGTTTGTTTTTGTTTTTGTAAAGTGTTTTACGGCTATGAGCGCGCGGGACACACCTAATATTTTCAGTTGGTAGGTAATTTTTTAATTTTGCCCGGGTGGCGGCCGAAGCCTACTCTTATCGATTTTAGACCACCAAGGGATCTTTAACCTGCGCAACTTGCACACGGGCCCTCCAAGATTTTTCGCCCTTGTCCGAGAAGGCTAGGTGTAGATCTTTCCTGCCAGAAGATCAGGGGTGTGGCAGAGAGACAGCAGACAGCAGTGTCACAGCAGTAAGGACGAGCCAAGAAGTAGATGTAGAAAGGCTGCAGAAAGAGCCAGGAGCCCAGAGGAGGTGAAGGGGTTGGGGGGGGGGTGTGGGCAGAAGTGGAAATGAAAGCAGACAACAGAACATTGCTAGAGAGCAGGAAAGGAGGTGAAAGGAGACAATTTTAGAGAAGAAAATTTTTCGCTCGCTACCCGGAATCGAACCTGGGACCTTTGAATGAGAAGCCAACACCTTAACCTCTAGACCACGAGAGCCCCCTGTATTTTCCCCTTTCCCACATAATGTAATATTGTTATAAGAACTATCCCCCAAATGTGAAAGAAACGGAAACAGCCGTGTGTTAAAATAATAACAAATTGCAAAGAGTAAGCTTATTGTTTTAATACTGAACTGGCACGATAAAGATAGAATAATAGTCGACTGAATAAGCATAAAGTTAAAAATAATTAAACAGGTGTGTATCATTTATTCGAATACTTAGAAGCTGAAACAACAGAAACGGCCATGATAACATGGAGTTTAAGCACAGAACCACGTGAAAAATGCACTACTTGTTTCTGTTTATCACTTATGTTCGTCGACATAAATTTTTGTTGTTTATCTCCACTCCCAAAGGCTATCTAAAGGGTCAGGTACACACGTAAAAGTTTCTGTTTTGCCGTTGAGTCGTGTTTTCGGTCAAGTCACCAAGTTGAGTGTCACTAGGTAGTGTGTTTATCAATGGCTTTTACAGCACTAAAGAGATATCAGAACAACAGGGTACATGTATAAACTTGTAGAGCTGCCATCGAAAGCTCGATGATTTTGTAATACTGTCTTCACCTTAAAAGGGGGGAGGGGGGGGGGGGTACAGCTGAAAGTCCCGATTCGAATCAAAACTATGGATTTCAGGATGAAGGCCATTTTAGCTTCTTCGGCCTCTCTTACAACTCTTCTATCGCATAAGAACCCCCCAAAGCCGTATTTCTTCTCATACCGGGCATGTTTGTCACCACAATTTCCTCATAAAGTCAATCTTTTATTTTTCTTTATCGCCCGTTTTCTCGAAACGTGGTTTTTTATGTACTTTTGTCAATAGTTCCACCATTTTTAATTCAATTGTCATTAAATTTTCACAGAATGAAGAAAAGATGTCATGCTAAAACTTCATAGTATGATGAATTTTTGATATACGGAATAGTTTTTCGTTGGTGGTATTTAGAATGTGGATTTTCACGGATTTTTTGCAAACGTGAACACTACCTCAAGAAAAAAATCATTAAAAATGTTCTACAACGTTTAAGAAAAATTCATCACTCAAATTTGTAGATCTATGGTTTGCAAAGGTGCATGCAAAATAAAACAATTTATTTCAAAGAAAAATAAGGGTGGTATTAATTACGTAAGATGTGTCAATAACATCCAATATGTCCGCCGTATCCATGGGAACGAAAGTTTTTTCTCAAATGTGATTGCAGATTTTAAGACTGCTTACTATGCTTGTTATGTGTGTGAATTTTGGAAACATTTGATCCACTAATAAGCGAGATAGCCAACAGCTGTAGCCCTTCCACCTCTTAAAGCGAAAGAGCGGTTCATATTTTTTGCTTAACGCAACACGCTAGTGACCTAACATTCAGCTTCATAACCTAGTAGTTAGTACAATTATAAAGTATAATAAAATGGCATTATCTACTTGGTCAAATGTAGATACTAACCTCAAGTCATCAACATGCCAGCTTCATTCAGAAAAAAATGTTGATGCCGCTTTTGAAACGAACAATGCCTCAAAATAAGACCATGACATGCGTGGTGAACACGTGTCTCCCACAATGGGTTTCAAACATTGATCCAATTTCCTAAGCAAGTGTTGCACCTCACTATTTTTTCAACTTGAAAATAAATTTTCACTGCGTTTAAATAAGAGAAGCAAAATAAAATGTACTATTTTAATTTGGGTTGTAGCGACATTTTCAGGCCAACAATTTGAAGCACGGCTCGGACTTAATCACAAGATTACTGTTCGGAGAGAATGAAAACCTCAAAGTTCCAGATTTTATTCTGGGGTGAGGGAGCGGAGGGATTGGGGGGGGGGGGGTGGGGGGGTTCTGAACATTTCCTCTTCCCCCAGTACCTTGGAGAATGATAAAAATGTCTACTTCAGAAGTTACTTGTTCTCTTTCCAGGAGCTCAACATCAACGAACAAACAAACAAAACACACAAATACGCCTTAC